ATGACTCCATTATGAAATAGATTTATAAGAACTGAAATATTTCTTCCTTGGAATATATCTACAAAATCTCAGCTGAAGCAAAATTATGATAAAAACAGAAGCCGACGAACACACTACACGTGTGTCCCTCATACAACTTGCAAACTCTCCTAGCTACACGCCCTCTGTCACAGCAGCTTCCACACACACTTGTACTAACAACACTTTTTACTCTGATAAATGTCCAAGATTCAAATGACTATTAAAGGGGAGATAAGCTTTCAACAAAAGCCAGTCAGAAGGTACAATTTGTGCTGTTTCTGGTTTTCACTAACTTATAAGTAGCCAAAGGACTACCATAGCTTAATTAAATCAGAAATTTAGCATTTCCATTTATCAAAACTAAGACATTATCTGCCATTTTATATGTAAGGGAGTAAGTCTGAACGGTAATCACTGTCAATATCTTATAAAATTTTTCCAAAGACCAACTTCTAGAAGAAGAAAAATAATATATATTATTTCACACTAAGATGTACCATTGATAATTTATGAGTTTCAGCAGGCATGATGGCACATGCCTGCAATCCCAGCACTTAGGAAGCTGAAGCAGAAGGATCACTGCGAGTTAAGAGGCCAGCCTGGGGTACAAAGTGAGTTCAAGGCCAGCCTGAACTGCATAGTGAGACCCTGTCTTTTCAAAAAGACAAAAAAAAAAAAAAAAAAAAAAAGTCTATAATGAGTCTCAATTGGATTCTGAAAGGACTTGAAGTACATACAATGTACAATTGACTAGAAAGGGGCCAGAGAGATGGCTCGGTGGGATAAGTGCTTCCCTGGAAAGCACAAGGGTTTAAGTTCAAACCCTCAGTTCCGCCAAAAACAAAACAAAAAAACTGACTAGAAAAACACCGAGGAACAAAATGATATGCTATATCGTTTTATCAAGAACTTAGAGTATCTGATTTTTTTTTGAAAGCAAGGATGAACATTAAATCTTTTATTAAAGTATATCTATACTGGAAGAATCCATATTTTGTTCTTAAACTTAACCTGAATTTAGAACAGTATTTCATATATCAATACAATATTTTACTCATAAATTCACAAATGTTCCTTGAGAATTATGAAAAAGTTCTAGATTACATAAAGAAATTAGTTAAATACTTTAAAAATTTGTTACAAATCTAAAACACACCTTTGTCATCAAAATCTGGTGATAAATGACACCTATAAGCTAAAACTAAGATTACATGCACTCACCACACATCCTGGGGAAGGTTTAGAGTTATGCTGCCTTTTATTTCATCACGAAAGCACATGTACCCCAGAGTCGCCAGGGTTACGTATAAGGCTGTGACGATGCCCATGCCAATGTTCAGAGCTTG